TAATCTCTAATGCGACTTTCTCGGTTCTATAGGGATGTGAGAGAAGGGTCATGACTAAAATTTGGCGCTGGAAAGAAAATTCGAAGACGTACGAGGTTTCAAAGACCCGTGATGGTTCGCTTTTGGGACTCGAGTTTCCAACCTTCTCTTATTTCTTACTGGTGGAGGAAAAACCTTAAAACGGGCTGAATTCAAAAAATAACCAAGCAGAGCGAAAGAAGTGCTATTTCTCAATGATCGGGTAAAATGTCGAGGCCTTATTTCACGTTTCAATGATTTTATTGAAATTTTTGATGAATCTCCATACATTTCCTTATAGCAGGACACCACAGAAACCAAGCTTGGGCTACCTGTGATGGCGCTCCATATGTATACTGCTCTAGTTTTTGTTTTGATCTATGTGTCTTTCTTAATTACATGTAACAACACTCAACCTGTGAAAGGTTCCTTCTTTGACTTTTTTGGCATAGGTTCGAAGTCTAATGCAACAAACTGCATATCTTATTTTCTGTTTAAGCGTTTCAAAACTAGGATGGCATAAGTTTTCTTGCAAATGTTGTTGATTGATTCCTGTGCATTTTTTTTTTTTTTTTTTTTTTTTTTTTTTTTTTTTTTTTTTTTTTTTCAATTTCATGCCAATCAACAGATAAATGGTTTGCTTTTGGATCATTTTGATCAGCATAGTATATTTTGTCACATGACAATGAGACTTCTGTCCCATATGCTTTAACAAGAGCATTTTGAATATGGAAAACCTGACCCTTGTGGGATAAATTGTTCAGCTGTCTCTGCCCATAAGGTGGCTTTAATTTTAAAATGCTCATCTGCAATTATGAGTGACCTTCTTGAAACTGTTGTGCCCTTGTTAGTATTTGTTGGGGTCGTTTCAGACTCGTGATCAATGATAACACCTACAATATTGATTCTCTTGTTCACATATTTGGTGATATCTTCGATTGGGAGGAACTTTAGGTCTGGTTCAGATATGGGTGTTGAGCTTATTTCTACAGTAACTCCAAGTCAAATCAAATGGAATATAGTTATTACTTTTGATGTATTGTGGTGGGGTTTTCCTAACAGAGATGTTAAAGAACTTGTAGGATGAACCAACAAAGATCTTATTATTAAAAAATATGACAACTGGGCCCCAAGCTATCAGTCTTGCACGTTTAGAACCATCTATCACATCAGCTTGGAAGAGATGGTTTGAGTT